ATATTATTAATCAGAAATGCTATCATTTTGATCTACACAGTAAGAACTTACTACATCTACCTGTCTGTTATGTTTAGATTTATTATTAGATTTTATTATATTAATAACAGGATCCCATGACGATGGTAGTACCCAGCCATCTTCCCTATTGAAATTAGGATGTTTTTTAATTTCTATGGCTTCTCGAATCATTCTAGGGCGATATCGGTTTTCTTTCGCCAGGATTTGAGGCCTATCGAAGCGAATATAATGGCTTGGGCGGTCCTGACTGTGTTTGCAGACACGGTGGGCTCCACCTGTCAAGTGCCACATCCCTCTACAAGATGCAGGAGTTTACAAGCTTGATTGTGATTGTGGGCTCTCTTACATCGGACAAACAAAGAGATCCATTAGAACCCGGGTCAAAGAACACATAGCTGATGTGAAGCACCGTCGCAATACAACATCTGCTGTCTGCAAACACAGTCAGGACCGCCCAAGCCATTATATTCGCTTCGATAGGCCTCAAATCCTGGCGAAAGAAAACCGATATCGCCCTAGAATGATTCGAGAAGCCATAGAAATTAAAAAACATCCTAATTTCAATAGGGAAGATGGCTGGGTACTACCATCGTCATGGGATCCTGTTATTAATATAATAAAATCTAATAATAAATCTAAACATAACAGACAGGTAGATGTAGTAAGTTCTTACTGTGTAGATCAAAATGATAGCATTTCTGATTAATAATATTTTTTCACTTTTCATTTGTAAATGTATGTAGTAATGTGTTGCTTAATAATTTGTTTTTAAATAATAGCAAATTTAAATTAAAATTATTATTTTTAATTAATCTTAACTTTTTCAAATTACACATAGATCAATTGTGGCTTAAATAATTAATACTATATTTTATATTTTTCTTATGGTTATAAATATAATAATGGCAACACTAAATATAGATTGCTAATTAATATTTTTAAAATTGTAATAATTATAAAAATAATAGCAAAAATTAAATAAATAATTTTCCATATTCAATTATAATTAAAATTATAAAAATATTTAAAGTTAAAATATTGTAATGTAATTGGTGCAATTTTCATTTTGTTAATTGTGGGTAGGCTGTCTGTAACAACTATATCTTTAAGACATGTAACACCTCAGTCTCTCCCGTGACCATGGATGCTGTAAAGCATTCGAAACGTCGGGAAACAAAAATACAAATAAATCCGCGACAAAATCCGAAAAGATAGTTTTATTTAAAATGTCAAATATTCGCGTAAATCTAAGAAAGTATTATTTTACAATATTTATCTCACCTCTCCAGCTATAACAAAATTGTCATCTTCTAGTATCAGTATGTCAACAATCATAAAGATAGTTTTCATGAGGTCAATAAACCTGTACTTCGAAGGATCAAAAGCTCCCAGTCGCTGCAAGCATACTCTGCACGAATCGTCCGCTTTCGTTATCGTAAGTGGAAGAAAAACTCTGCAAATTAAATAGTTATTACGATCCTCCATATTTGTGTTATTAATACAGTATGATTTTTTTACAGTAAACATTAAAATAGATTCGATTAAAATAGTAACATTTAAGTATAACAACTTCTCTATTGTTCGCGAGTTCGATGTCCTCACGTTCCAATTAAATCGATCAATTTAAACTAATCAATTAATAGTAAAAAAACATTAAAAAAAACAAGCTTTTATTTAAATTTTCTAAAAAGAAGAAAATAAATTTTAGTTTAAATCAAACCTAACAATTAACGTTACACAATTTATATGCTATAAAAGCTTATTGCGAGATTTACCCATTTTTAATATTAAAATATTCTTGTTTATCTACACGGATAAATCTCATGATTATTAGTCTACAGCTAATATATTAAGTATATCTTTTAATTTCCTCGTTCGATTGGAACGAAACTTATGCATCTTTTCCAGGTGGTTTCTAGAAGGGTGAGTCTGATTAACTAGTATATTAAATTAATGTATTAACACCTCCAGGTAAATTTCTAAGAAATTAATTAAATTTCTAAGAAATCTATTGTTAACTGTAATGCCGGCATGTCCGCGGTCGTGGAGGGATTAATTATATAAAACTTAAAAAAATATAAATAAAAAACTCGATTGCGTAAAAAGCCAACTGACAAAATGGGAACAAGTTGACGCAGAAACATAGTATTATGCAGTCGGAGACATACAATACACGTAGCAAGACTCGCAGCTAGAATAAAATATGTACTTCTAGTATAGTATTAAATGATCTGTGTAAGTACATACAAATGTCTTTTTTTTGTAAGGCACACAAACTGGCGAAGCCCTCCTTTGGGCTTCGCCGCAGTGGGATAAAAAGATATTTGCTTATTATTTTGGACTACTTAATTATAAATAACACATTCATACCCTAATTTTAATATTTCTTGTATGATAGGATCGAAAGGATCCCTATTTTGAAAAATCTCCGGAACTGTTGTTCTAAGAGTGTAGCACATGTCTAGTGTCTTCTTAGTTTTTTCTAAGCTATAATTGTCCCCTCGTAAAAATGCTACAAGCCATTGATCACCTGAAAAATAATTTATATTTTTATATACATATATAAATAAAATATTACTTTTAAAAATATTATTATAATCCAATTCATAACGTCACTGTAAGTTCTTTTATGAAGTGAAAAAGTTAGTAAGAACCGAGTAAATAGTTCCAAGTTATGTCAATAGATGGCTCTCTGACCTTGTTGAGGATATTTAAAAATAAAATTTTGCATCTCAATCTCATTCGTGTCTTCCTCACAAAACGTGACACTGGCAGAATGGATTGCGTCTGTTAACGCAACTATAAGCCATTAAAGAAAAATTTTTTTTACATCAATGCAAATATCAAACAAATAAAAAACCACCTGCTCTTAGGTACAAAGTACATAGGCACATTATATAAATACTAACAATTTCCAAATTATATAATGAATTAATTTGAATTTATAGCCTATTAAAACAAATATCTATATAACATATATATTAGATTGTACAAATAATCTACTCACAGGGTTTTATAGCAGCTAAATGTGGTTGCTTTTCAAACCACCGTCTTAGATCATTGATATCAACGGCTATCCTGTCTGGATCTTCATTAATTTCTTTGATTGCTTTTTCTTGTAATAATGCTGGCAAAGGTCTGATCTCCATTTGAGTATTTTTATTAAAACACAAAATATATAATAAATCTACAACAGGATAATAGTTTTTAAACGTACTTCAAATCACTTCACACTGATGCTGCTACGAGTATAAAAAAAAGCTGAACTTTTGACGATTATTGTTATTTTATCAACTAAAAATAATTATTTTTATTTTACGAGCACTGAACAAGTTACAGTGATAGCAACTGCAACAATATTGTAACACTTAATAACTTCAGCAACCTTGTGTCACTACTTAACCGGTTTAATTATTACCAATTTTTTGGTACGTAGTACCACACCACAAGTACATACATTATTCAATTTAATTAAAACAACAATCAAACATTCTTAGTTCTAAGTTTGTATCATTTTACAATAGGTCTATGATGGTTATGATTTGAATAGATAGACTTTAATTTACTGACTCTAAGCTCCCGATTATTCTTTATTTGCTTGTACCAATCACTGAATATGACCTCGTTTTGTTGTTTCTTGTATCTCCTTGGCTGAATAAAACATAATCTAGTTATTTTATTAATTTTGAGTATTAGCAAGGTAAAAAATCCAAAAGTCGGTAAGTGGTCTTTGATTTTAAAATAAAGTGTCCGCTTGTAAAAAATACCAATTACTTTCATGGCGAAGGGTTTCTAAGTTAAAGCAATGTAGTGTCATTCTTGTGGCCAGTTACAATCATACCGGTCAACCCTAAAGCAGTCTCCCAATTGTCATACAAAAGTGCGTGACAGTCGGGGCCGCTCTCCAATGCCTCACCTCGCACAGTCCGACGATGTTTTTTTTTTTAATTTTTAACCAAAATGAAAAGCATATGCAACTTATTGGCATAATTTTTCGTTTTGCCTTTATTAAACTTATACTATAACTAGAAGGCTACGTAGCCGCAACGATCAAGAAATATTGTGTTAGCTATTCCTTTTTATCAAGCGTTATCTATACTAATATTATATAGAGGTAAAGTTTGTGAGTTTGTGAATTGTGAGTTTGTGACGTTGTAGAGAGTAATCTCTGGATCCACTGAACTGATTTAGATGTTTGGTTTGAAGATAGTTTGAGACCCTAGGAAGGACATACGATACCAGTCGACAATATTATAAAATATGAATATCTTATAGGTAAATATGTATTTTACGTATCGAAATATATTAGATTTGCTTTGCATCGGCTGGCACAGACTTCGAAAATATCTGATTAGGTATCTATTCTAAATGAAAACCTCCGTTTAGTTATTTTTTACATTTTAGTGCCTGGAAGTCGGTTTTTTTTAAGTTTTTATTAATAACCGTCTTACATAGTGTTCTAATTATGATCCAAATGTCATTACTGGCAGGAGAAAAAAAAATTAAGCCACCAGTCCATACAAAAGGTTGCAATGTCCTTTTGGTTTGTGTTAAATAACAGTCGTAATCTTCGGTTGTACCTTGATTGAGCTATTGTAGAATCATAGATTATATTACCTTAATTTAGAGCATAAAAAAATCTTCAAGTATATTTTTATATATTTATTAGGATAAATATAACCGCATTTACAAATGTAAAAACCCACTGCATATCTTTAACAATATTCTTCTCTATAAAAAAATCTGTTAGTTACCGTTGAATTAATCTCGATAAAATGTGACAGAAGACAGCTTTGAAGTTTTACTTTTAAAATGTCTTACAATCCGGAAAACAGAATTTCCGTAAAATAGAAGGCAGATTGTATATTTTCAATTATAACATATATTTATGAATTATAACATGGATCCCTTTGTTTTCTTTCTTCATTTTCACGTAGTCTGAGACTATTTTCGGCTAGTCTGGAGGCTTAAGTGTACTAATCGACTTCTAACTTTCTAAAAGAGCCTTCAACACCAAACAACGTAGATGATGTCCTAGGTTTATCCGGTCTCAAAGATTCATCCGAGTATTGTTTATCCTGTTCCAGGAACCAATCCTGATAGCTTTCAACTTTGGTTCCCCAGTAAACTAAAACAGACGGTCATATTTTTAAAAATCGTATTTCATACATATCATGAAACTGTAATGGGAAGGAACATTATTATATATAAAGAATTTACCGACTATTTATTACTTTCTTACTTTTTCTATGGCATAACTTTAATATTTTTATACCTTTCAGTATGAGAAGTGCTAAATACAATATATAAATGAATTAATTTTTATGTTATACTTTACCAGTTAATTCGTCCAATGACTTTGCCATTCCACCATATTCTTTTGGAAGAACTTCTTTAGGGAAGACGCTATACACTTGTTCTATATTTTGACCGATTACTTGGAACTGTAAAAATGTTGGGTTTAAACATAAAATAGTGATTATTTCCACTTAAACTTTATTTTTAATCATTTGTTAGGTAGGTATGTGACATTTTATATTATTAACTAATTTTACTTATTTTAGATTAATAAAAAATTTGTAAGTACATAACAGGAATACTATTTAAAAATGCTAATGGTCTTCTGGATTTCGTGCAATACTTAAATTTTTTATTATTGATTTCTAATAAGGCTTTAAAGAAATTATTTAAAGAAATATTACATAATAATTTACTTTAAAAATATATAAAAATTACTGCAATTATATACATACTCGGTTCTTCAACTTATCCCCCAAAAACGTTTTGAGTATCTGAAAAGCAGTTTCAAAGCCGGATGGGGTATGTATTATATAAATCCCCTTCATCCGCAATGGGAAGGCCTTTTCTATACAAGTTACAAGTTTTTGAGCTAACGCAGGAGTAAACCGCAAGAAGGTACTGAGTCCTAAATCCTTCAAGTCTAATAAACCCATCTAAATATAAACGAAAAAAAGTTATTGTTAATAAATATAAATACTCGTAATAATTTTAAAATTGGATATCACTTATTATATTTTGGATATAAAACAATGTTATTTGGTGTAACAATCACAGTGAAAAGAGTCACGAGTAAAAATTTATTTTAATTATTCTTAAAATATTTTTGCATAAAGTGTATAAACCAATGTACTAGAACAAAAATAAGGACACTGCTTATTTTCGGAATGAAGTTCCCTATCCCACCTTGCGCTCGACATACTTGGCTAATGAAAGCTAGACGGAAAAGAGTGTAACATTTCGACCATCACGACGATACTTTTTATTACTTACTAAGATAATGCTGATGCTGATGGGGTGCCCAATACCCATATGACAGCATCATAAGTAATGTACGATGTAGATAGTAAGTAGTTCGTATACACTCTTATGAGGGCTCCCTACATGTCGGACATTCTGTGACGTTTGTAGTCCTCTAGTAGTCTAGACAATTATTGTCACCAAATATTATTAAGTAAGGGCAAATTGACATCATTATAAGTATACCAGGCGATCATAAGTGTTAACGAATAAGTATATGTTGTAAGAAATTCATGTGCACTCTCTGCAGTCCTCTCTTCAACATGTGAAATCTACGTTGCTTGATGCTTATGATTCGATAGTACTTGTGACAATTTTTATGACATAAGAAACTTCGTTCCTCCGGATCTCCAACGATACGTATGGTTTTTTGTAGAAAATTGGCCCACAACGCTTTACATAAGTACTGTTGATATAAAGGTTTTAAAATTTATGCCACCAATAGTAGTCGTAAATGTTCTTAAATCTATATAAAATGTATAAAATAAATCTCACCTCTCCAGCAACAACGTAATTATCATCTTCTAAAATGAGTATTTCTAAAATCATAAATATTACTTTTAAAACATCACTCATTTTGTGCTTAGAAGGATTATAATGCTCAAACCTATAAATAATTATTCTGCAAGAGTCTTCTGCCATGCAATCATCAAGCGGTAGACATATTCTAAAAATATACATAATATTTTATCTTCTGAAATTAATGTTATCTTAATCAAGAAAAGTGAGAATAATTGCATTTTGCACTTCCGTTAGTAAAAAACTTAATTTTAAGTCTTATTTACGTATTGTATAACTCTAACAATTAATTTTACATAATGTACATTAGTTCAAGGTTGAGCAAAGTGGAGTAAGTAATAAGGGTTCACCAGGCATAGGGAATGGCGGAAGAGCTTATATTAAAGTAACATCTACGTGGTGAGCGCATTTTGTTCTTATCGAATTTAGTCAAGAAATCTATTTATTTTAAAAATTATAACTAAAAATTTGAAGATATGGCATGATTCAGAATATTATATACTAGCGACTCACCCTTACTTCGCTTGGGTTCCTCCCTATGTTGATTCCCTATACAAACATTCATCCCTATTTTCACCCTTAAGGGATGATTTCCGGGACAAAAAGTATCCTATGTCCTTTCTAGGGTCTCAAAGTATCTTCTTACCAAATTTCATCTAAATCGGTGTAGTAGATCCAGAGATTGCCCCTTACAACCTCACAAACTCAAAAACTTACTAACTTTACCTTTTTATAATATTAGTAATATAAATTACTAGGGATATTTTCCCGCAGTAAAAAGTATTCTATATGTTCCCCTGGATAACCAGTTAACATCATACCTAATTTTAATCAAAATCTGTCTTTCTTGTGATGCATTCCCTGACAGTACAGATAATAATGGCTATTTCAATAAGATTTTCCCAAAAAATATTTAATGTACAGATTCGATCAGTTAGATTTTTTTATATGTATAGATTTTTTTATAATTTATTATAATATGAAAAATATTTTTTTTTATCTTAACGCATCAAATGCCTTGACTCAAGTTTTTACACGTAAGTCAATATATCGCTACTGTTGAACGGAGGTTTTCTTCCTCCCTTTTCTTAGTCAACTTATAGTGTTAGTAGTAAGTTAATTGTTTCAAAAATTGGCAAAAATTTTCAATAGGGAAACCCTAGCAAGGAATATTCGATCAACATCGTATGCAATACTTTTCTTAGTATACAGTATACACCTACATTTTGTACAACTAATACAAAATCTTATTTTCAACCGACTTCAAAAAGGAGGAGGTTCTCAATTCAACTGTATTTTTTTTTATGTTTGTTACCTCAGAACTCCGTCATTTATTAACCGATTTGGACAATTTTTGTGTTGTTTGAAAGTGTATACTTCCAGATTGGTCCCATTTAAATTTCAAAAAAAATACCACCCCTAAGGGTGGAAAAATAGCTAATGATGAATTTAACCTACTTCTAATTGTCATATTGACTTGAAACTTTGCAAGTGTTTCTATTTCCGTTGATAGTACAGTGGTTCGGTATTGTTGACCTGATCTGATGGTAAGGCCAGAAGGTGGATAGGTGGAACTCTTCAATGGCTAATAGTAGATACTGTGAGTTTGGGCTTATTTTGTTTGATTTGACAAGCCTAACACGTTAGAATTCTGACTTTGCTACTACTGTCTACACTAAAAAGGGAAAAATAAAAACCGACTTCAAACAAAAGCACTAAAAAGTAAAAAATAACTGATTGGTAGTTTTCATTTACTATACGTACCTAATCAAATATTTTCGAAGTCGGTGTGCTTTGCTTTGTATGGGCTGGCACCGAATCCGAAAATATTTGATTAGGTATGTATTTAATAGGTAGGCTTTAATTACTTAGCCAAAGCACACCGACTTCGAAAATATTTGATTAGGTATGTATGGTAAATGAAAACTACCAATCAGTTATTTTTTACTTTTTAGTGCTTTTGTTTGAAGTCGGTTTTTATTTATTTGTTAAAAAGTTTTTATTTATATAAAATATGTATATACAAATACATACACAGGTATCAAACGAGCTAAATACTTGAATAACCACTCACTTTAAAAAGAAGACCGAAGATAAATTACTGTAGTCATTAACGGCGGCCTTGTATAGTGTATTTAAATTTTTCTTTACATAAATTATTTTATTTTATTAGATGACACGTTTGGCTCAGTTTGTAGTGACCCTAATTGCAGTGCCAGCGGTCGCGGGTTCGAGTCCCGCTGGGGGCATTCATTTGTGTGACGAGCACGAATGTTTGTACCTCAGTCATGGGTGTTTATATTTATAATATGTATGTATTTAAAAGTTATATATGTGTAGTGTATCAACTATCTGGTATCCATAACACAAGCCTCGTAGCTTACCATGGAACTACATGGCGCTGTGTGTTAATGTCCCCCCCAACATATATATTTTATTGAATCATAGTAAAAACTCATATTTTGGGTATAAACGTATATTAAATGTGTCTCAGAAAGCACATAAAGCCATCGGACATGCGTCTGATCTCTTTGTCATTATCGTTCACCGGAAAATGAAAGTGAAAGGAATAAATAGTGCTCTACTAATATGTGTGTGCATCACATACATGATATTATTGGGGCTTGGGCACTATTGGACCTCTTGTGTATATGAGTTATATTGAGATTGACTATCGTGACCTAAAATGGGCTAACAGGACATTAGTATTGTTATTATTATATACATAGTTAAAATTAAAAAAAAAATAGTTACGCGTAAAAGTTGATCGCTGAATCTCTTTTTTTATTTGAAGGATGTTTGGCATTGAAGAGGAATAAGATTATGTGAGATATAAATTGATTTTTAACATACTTACCCTAATTGTAATATTTCTTGTATAATAGGATCAAATGGATTTCTATCTCGAAATATCTCTGGGACTACTGCTCGCAAAGTGTATAACATATCCAGCTTTTCCTTAGATCTCTCTAGACTGTATTTATTTCCTCTTAAAAACGCTACTAAAAATTGATCCGCTACAATAAAAAAGAAAATATTACAATATTAACATATTAAAACTGCGAGTGAATAAGTATTTACATTGAGACCACAACTACCAAATATGATACACCACAACTACCAAACATGATAGACGCATATTATAATAGCGTGTAAAATAAGTATAACACTTTCAAACAGATAAAAATTGGCATTCAAATGTTTTTGACTTATAATAATAGTTAAGGTAGCTCGAACCTTTACTTAAAAACAAAATAGAACTTACTTGGATTAACTGATTGTAAATGTGGTTGTTTTTTCAGCCATTCTCTAAGTGCAAGAATATCTGATGGAGTTCTATTTGGTTTTTCAAATAATTCCTTCTCGGCTTTCTCTTGCAGCGCTTTGGGAAGGGATCTTATCATTTTTTTAAAGCTAAAATTAAATTACAAAATCAAAATTTAAAACAGTTCTGTTTATACGAGGATGTATACAATTATAAAGTATATAATAATAACTACAAATTCATTCAATAGGCCATCAACACTAGCGGTAAAGGTTAAAAAAAGTAATTTATATATTTTACTATACTAAAAGTTTCTCAAAGCCGCTCTGCGCAAGTCTTATCTTACTAGGGTAAAAGGCAAATAGTTTGAAAATCTCGAATTAAATACAAATTAAGTATCTACTTACAATATGCCCCATGTATAATAAAACATTGGTCTTTCATTGTGACCTTTTGTTAAACACAATCAATAATGTTTGTTAGAAAATCCTGTTTTATTTGACCGCTACAAATGGGATAGTTACCCTCTGTGGCGGATAGTTGCCTCATATTAAAAATGCTTTGGGAGATATTTGTCTCATGCAGATAGAAGAATCATTATGAAAAAGCTTCATTTTTTTTTGGATTTAAACAAATTCATGATTATTAATTATTAATATTTATTTATTAGAAAGATATATCATCGACTTATTATAATGACACTATAATTATTGTAACATATACATGCAATTCGGTATGATTCGCCTTAACAGATGTATACAGCATCCTACTTACAATTGTTTGCATGCGATTAGAAAATGTTAGTTACATGTAAACTAAGAGGAATACTCCTACTTTTTTTAATACTAAAAACAATTACGAGTATATATAAAAACTAGTATTGCCCGCGGCTCCGCTCGCGTTCAGATGATCACAAACCAAATTCTTAGGTTTTACATATTAGTATACTCTTACATTGCAGTTTTTGTATTTTTTTCCAGAAATGACACATTTTGCCGCGATAAAAATTATCCTATATGTTGACCCGGATAACCAGCTATCATCATACCAAATTTCATCAAAATCCCTCCAGAATCCTTTAGATGAAATTACATTGTATGTTTCCATTAGTCTGTTCAAAGGAGCATATTTCCCTACATTGGTCCTGGAGTGATACAGATAGAAGATTTTGCTTACGGGGTATTTAGGAACAGATCTTGGGACATTCATGTTAATTAGGTGTAAAATATCTGTGCAGCTTATTTGTCCATGTAAGAGCTTTCAAAGCGTTTTTAGGTCACAATTTTACGTAGCATTTTCAGGAAATTTAGTTTAAAGTGGAACAATCTGAGATAGTCTGCACAGTAGGGACAATTTTGATCTTTACAAGCCAGAAAACGAGTAAAAATGCGTTGTACACATTGGATTCTGTCAATACCAAACTATGATACGTACATATATACGTACGATACGTGACCATGATTGCTGTAAAGCATTCGAAACGATTCCAAAAATCAAAATACATTCGCGAAAAAATCCGAAGAGATAGTTTTATTTAAAATGTCAAATATTCGCGCAAACATAAGAAAGTATTTTATTTCTAAATAGCTAATTAATTTATATTTGTGCCATGTAGCTATTTAAATTAATTCCATGGGGTTTACAAAATTTAGGAATATTATTACCATTTTCGGTGTACTTACGTAGTCTAAGAACTTTATGGAGTATTTATAAACACCTGCAGATCTTAATAAACCTTATTATTTACACGTGTATTTTTCATTAAAAAGAAAATATTAACATTAGGAATAAA